ATAAGTATAACCTTTAATTTATAGAAAATGATGCTTGATTTATTACTTTAGTTAAATTTTTGTTCCTTTTTACCGTATTATTGGTAATATACATACATATCTTTTTGTAGAAAATCAATTAGTGTACGTTGTAAAGGATTTATTTTCTGCTGGAGTAGATACTACTGACAATACCATTGGTTTTGTCATAGCATTCCTTGTAGCTTATCAAGATGTACAGGCGAAAGTACATGAAGAACTTGATAACAATATAGGCATGGATGTTTATCCTTCCCTTCAGGATAGAGATCGGTGAGATGTATTACATATTATAATAATTTACTTTTTAGAATATTTGAGACAAAAAAAATTAATTTTCTTATTATATAGCCATATAAGTTATTTTCTGACAGGTAAGTAAAATTAAAATTTGTGTTTTGTACTGTTTAAATATTGTAGAATCTGTATTAATTATAACAGTTTATTATAACAATTGCAGCAATAACAATTGACAGAATATAACAATAATTTGACAACTCGCAACGCTACGACAACTCTTATGCAACTCTAACAATTATAAAACGACTTTTACAACTCTCAAATAACTCGAGCAACTCTTAAACGACTCATACAACGCTGCCTGTAACATTCTATCTCCAACACTCCATCTCCAATACTCCGACAACTCTTACAACACTCCTACTCTATCTGCAACTGTGGCTCTATTTACAACACTCCGACAAGACTCTGACTCTATCTACAACACTCCGACAAGATTCTGACTCTATCTACAACACTGCCGACTCTTACAACACTCTGACTCTATCTACAACACTTTGACGACTCTATGTAAATAACACTGACACTATGCGCAAGGAAACATTCTTCCTTCGTCTTCTTTTTCTCCCTCCATGCACGCACGCTATTTCTGGGTTTTTTTCCATTAAAAACGGTCAACGCATCGGTGGACTTCGTGCATCATCGAAGGTTTTCGCGAAGGGCCTGGTTTGCGTTCGTGTCGACCACCACTTTCTCTTTTGCAACCTTCGTCCTGTACTTCTTAAAAACTACGTACGAAGAGGGAACGTTTTCACGATACTGCAATATTTTCTTTAATATTTGAATTTTTCATTTTTTTCACCTTCATTAATTTATCTTATATGATGTAAATTGTTATTGTTTCTTTTTATTGTTGCTATAATTGCTATTACAGGCTACCATATTTAAAAGCGGTTTTAGCAGAAGTATCCAGATTAGCGAACATTGGTCCAACTACTATACCACACCGAGCAATAACGGATTCTAATTTACTAGGTTTTGAGATAAAAAAGAATTATACTTTGTTAGCTAATCTTAAAAGTATTCATATGGATAAAGAACACTGGGGAGATCCTGAAGTATTCCGACCTGAGAGATTTATCGACGAAAAAGGACAATTTATCAATGATTCATGGCTTGTACCTTTTGGTTTAGGTAATTTTATTTTTTCATCCTGCCATATGAAAATATCATTTTTGGCTACAATTAAGTGCAAAACTAATTCATACCTTTGTAAAAATGCATCAAACCAACATTTTTTATTTAATTAACAAAAATGAAAAAAAACCTAATGAAAACAGGTTCATATTTAATTGATTTAGTTATGTTATGTTTATTTATATTTATTTAGTTATTTGTTTTTTGATAGGTCGCAGAAAATGTTTGGGTGAAACTTTAGCGAAAAATACAATTTTTCTTTTTATGGCATGTTTATTTCAAAGGCTCCGTATCATGTTGCCATTAAATCATCCTAAACCGTGCCTTCAAGGAATTGATGGTTTTATAGTAGGACCACCTGAGATGGATATTATTGCCGTTCAAAGATACTAATTGCGACAATAAAAGAAGAAGTTGGGTAATGTTCTATAATAGGAGTTAATCGAGAAAAAATAAAAATTATCTGTATTGCACAGCTCGATTCATTAGAAATAACATTAAAGTATTTCGTTCCGGAAACTTAAAAATTACATACTTCGTTTTCAAAAAAATCAATTTTGAAAATTTTTATAAATCACTTTTTTGTTGTATTATAAATATTGTAGCAATATTTTTTATGTTTCGAAACAAACGAATTTTAATACGTTCCTTTCGCACGATCTTGTAAGTAAAAATTAAAAGATGGAACAATCTGTAACTATTTTTAAAAACAATGCAACTGTATTGCGTTTATTATATGTATACACGAGTAGACTCCCTCTTATCCGGTTCCGCTTTAACCGGTTACATTTTCGTTGGGAAGCCCAACAGGAAAACAATTGACACATTCTGTGTTACGTCATTCGTAGTTCACAGCATTTATCATAAAGGAAACTTCAATCAAACGAATGAGTACATTCTTCAGACTTAATTTTGAAATAAAAAAAAAAGGAAGCTGAAAATGTAAAGAATTTAACTCAAGAGTTCTGTTCTTACAGTCGAATATTGTAATCCAATTTTTTTTTATCACTTTTTAAGGTTCTGTTCAAAATTTAATATTTTGCCTATACACGAAACGTGGTAAAAGATTCTAGGAATGAATACAGTGCACTGAAATGAAATAATTAAGTTTGAATTTTGTATTTCGGCTCTTTAATATATCTGTTTACTTCATATAAATGGAATAAAATATATCTACCTTATTAAAATAATTCGAGAAACTGCTGATTCTCGTATTTTTAATATTTTCCTGTGTTTCTGTGAAATACTTATGTTGGAATACATTATGATGTATATGTTATGTTAATTATGTTGCCCATAAGTTAAGTTTTATAATTCTTATTTCTTTGTGTACAATATAACAACACATGATATTAAATATTTTGAATTTAGCGCTGAAGAAATTGAAGTTAATATCTGTATTTATTCAAAGATGGCGCTGAAATACAAAGAAAGTTTTGTTTTCTCTCTGAATTACATTTTAATTTATGTGTGACATTCTGGCGAGCTCGAACATGTATGTATTGATGTAGAATGAATCAGAAATGTTTTGGTTTTTGTTAAGGCAAAAATAGTTGGAAGAATTATTAAAAGATGTTGATAAATTGATATGGCAATATTTATTGTATACACATCACGTAATTAATATAAATCAGGGAAATTATTTATACAATTACTGTAACATTTATTTAAATACAGTATAACTTTTTAAGTATGCGTAAGTAAATTATTAATCGTCTAATTTTTATGTGAGGTTTATTAAATAAACAGTCTTTAAAAGTGCGACATTTATTACGACATATGCTTAGTATATTATTATAAATAATTTTACATGTCTTATGTGAACATGCTAGTAGTATTTCATTTTAAATGTATTTAAAATTCAGGTATCAAGACTTTCATCTGCATTAACTTCTAATGTTGGACAACATGGCAAAGGATCCATTGAATAAAATAGTTTTGAGTTATTATGATTGTTTACTTAGAGCTAGTGATATTACATTACTTCAAGGATCTCACTGGTTGAATGATGTTATAATAGGATTTTATTTCGAATATTTGGATAAGAAATTTAACAAAAATGAGAAAACAAAATTGTATTTCATCAGTCCTGAAGTAACGCAACTGTTAAAAATGTCAGATTCATCTCAGTATGGTATATTTTTGGATCCTGTGAAGGTATCAGAATGCAAATGCATACTTTTCCCTTTGAACAATTGTGAGAGAAAAGATACAACAGGAGGATCACATTGGAGTTTATTAGTATATTGCAAACAAGATAAAAGATGTTACCATTTTGATTCATCAAGCGGTTCTAACAATAGTATTGCTTCAGCATTTGCAAAAAATGTAATGAGTTGTATACTTGATAAGAATGAATCTAGTAATAAATTTGTTAAAGTAGACTGTCCACAACAAGATAATAGCTATGATTGTGGAGTTTATGTTTTATGCTTAGCAGATGTAATTACAGAGAATGTAATAAAAAATGGAAGAGTAGATGGATGTGATTATAGTCAAGTTAAAAAATTAACATGTACAAAACGTACACAAATATTGAACTTAATAAATGAACTTAAACATAAATCAAGTACTATTTAGTAAATAATAGATACAATTTCTTGTATAAATGAAATATAACTAATATATCTTT